GGCCCTTTTAGGGGTGGGATAGATTTTGAATCTTTAAGTTTGGCATTTACGAAATTATAGAAGGCTCGGGAAGAGTTTGAGTTTAATAGCTCTTCCTCCTGTTTGCAGTGGTGATTGATACATTCTGCCTTTATCTGGCAGCATAAGGTTTTGTAGCGGTTTTCAAAGTTACCTACGTAGCCAATTTTGTTGGCTCGCCAAAGAGATTTTTTCTTGGATTGCAGCTTTCTTATTGATATGGGTAATTTGTTTTTTATTTTTGGCTTTAGGAGTTATTTTTGGTATGTATAGATTAATGACTCTATTGACTTCGAGCAAAAAAGTGTTATAATGGTCTTCTGCAATATTACAACCTGTGAACAGAAGGTGCCAATCAAGAGATGTGAGGTCTGCAGCTATGAGATCATAATTGGCTTTTTTATAGTTATAATTTGGAGTCCCATCATTATGATCCTTTTTGCAAGGACTCAAGTTGAGACAAAAATCAATCATGCTGTGATCACTGTTGGAAAAAGGTTCTTTAACTTGTAGGCCATAAATTGAGTTTAAGCTATTGCAGAAAATGAGATGTAAGCAATTGTTGAACCTAGTGTTGCTCGTTACCAACTGCTCCAGCCCCAGAGTTGTAACAGCATTGTACAGGGTTGCATGTATAGGTTCGGTTGTACATTCGTTTAGTGTCTAATTAATAAGAGGTAGATTGAGGTCACCAAGAAAGATAAGAGGGTGCGGGCAGGAAGCTGCCCATGTTAGTAGTGCAGTTAGGTTGTTCGTATGACCAGGGTCGTAATCAGGGGCTTTATAAAATAGCAAGAAATGAAGTGTGGTATTTAGGGATAGTTCACAGACAATGGTCTCAGAAAGAGCAAGCTCCTGAGCAACATCAATCTTTTTCGGACCTAGGGACTTCTTATAGAAGATAGCAACACCACCCCCTCTACGATTAACGTGGTCAGACCGGAAAACGTGGTAGTCACTTACAGTAATAATGGAGTCTGGAAAGGATACATTCAACCACATCTCACAGACAAAAATAAGGTCATTTAGAAGCAGGACAAATTCAGGCATTTTATTTGCGAGGCTTCTTGCATTTAGTAGTTTGCATTTTAGGCTTGTAGGGGTGGACTTGGAGGAAGTTGGGGGCGTGCATACCTAGTTTTGGTTGTTGGGTGGGTGGCTGTTGGGATGCTGGCTGCTGGTTCTTCATTTGATATAGTCGGCATGGTAGTCTATGTACAGGTCAGTCTCTCCTTGGTCCTGGCGTCGTTTGAGCTCTGAGCTGAGTTCACAGGCACGGGCATGTTGCAATATGGACAGGTCGGGCTGTGAACGAAGTTTCATGTGGTTTGTGCAGCTTCTAGCGAGTGTGTTTATTGTGGAAATAAATTTGTGTTTGCTGGATTCACTCTTGCAAACAACTCTGCAGAAGCGTGGTACCACCCATCACTGTTCTTGAACTCAGGGCCATCATGGGAAACATTGATGATTTCGATGGGAGAGATAGTTGATGCCTGGAAGTTGCTGATGATGTCATGAACCTTCGCAATGTCATTTGATTCATTGGTGTCCTTGAGTCCAAATAAGATAGTGTTGGGACACTTCTGTTCACGTTCAATCGTGTCTTTAACAATGATGGAAATGTTACTCGCATGGTTAGTGGTTTCCTGCAACTGGGGTAGTTGGGTAGGGATGGGATTTCAGTATGTTGGTGCTTCACTTTTCTGAGTAATTTATTTCCCTTTGAGGGATGCTAATCATGTTTCTATGCTGTCGACCCGTTCGAGTAAGACAATAAATTTGTCCAATCTGGGCTTGCATGATGGGCAGAGTAATGGAAACACGAACTGGGAGGTTTTAACTGAAGCTGCTTGAAGGAACTGGGCAATGCCTTTGGTTCACCCCAATCACTTGTGGTGAACATACGAGTCGCATAGAGAGCACTTCGTGGTACTCTCATCCTCCTTGAGTGCTTCTGCACAGATGAAGCACATGCAGGGGTCATGTGGCTCATCAGTAGCAATCTCCTTTTTGGGTGGAGGTTTGGCAGTAGAGTGTTTGCCTGGCATGGTAGGATTGCTGTGGGGGTTTCTTGCAGGTTAACTTTGCAGGGTTTTTATTTTTTTATTTTATTTATTTATTTTTTATTTTCTAATTTCTGTATATATATATTTGTTGTTGTGGGGGCTCCCCAGCTTACCCAGGCTTTCTTTGTTGAGTGCTTTCTTCTGTAATTCTTATAGATGTTGAATCAGTTATTTTACTTTCAGACACACTCTTCACATTACTAAATGGTGCTCTTACTCTTTTTAATACTAAAGAAAAGCTGTTCCCAAAGCTTTGAATCCCAGCCTCATAGAGCGGAAATCCTGCTCCGATCTTTCTGAGTCCCACTTAAATAGTTCTAGTTATTTCTTGGGTTCTTAGGGTTCAATTTAGGGCAAAAGAAAAATCCTCTCCCCCACTTGCCTTCAGTAAATTATGCCTCCAGTAGTGATTCGTTCAGGAGGATGCTCGGAATCACCAGCTTCCAGCTGATCATCAAACCTTGGTTCTCTCAGGCTAGCTTCGGCTTTGCTCGGTGTTTGCCTCCAGTGGGGGTTGCTGGTCAGATATCTCTCACGCCGTTTGCTTAGGATTGGAGACCTCTCTGGATCAGATCTCTTCAGCTGGTTCTGGCTTACCTAGGCACTTGCCTCCAGTAAATTTTGCTTCCAGTAGTATAAGGTTTGTTCTATTAAGAATTAGAATAGAGGTAGAAATTACAAAGGGGGGAAATATTATGCATATTCTTATAGAATATTTTAAAATTAATATGTAGATGTAAAGATCAGAAGTTGAAAGATGATTGTATTTTGTATACTGAAATAATATTATTATGGTTATTAATACTGTGTGTTAAAATATTGAATAATTAAATGATGAAGGATTATATAAATGGTGGAGCAAATATCAACATGTTAATAACTTCAATGTCAATATTTATAATATTATTATAATGATCTGAGCATGATTAATGTATCTAATGTTATCAATATTGTCACCAGAGCTGGGATTAGTCAAAGAATATAGTGACAACCAGGTCACCCCTCTTCCCTTCACGCCACAAACAACAGCAAGCTTCAAAAGGCAATTGAACCAGTCTTCTGCAGTGCCTTACATGGTACTTGTTCAAAAGGAACTTCCATTCAGTCAGTCACAAGAGGATCCTGACACAAGATGTGGAACAAATACATCAGAGACTGTTGGATCCTCAGAACAAACTGGTTTCCTCATTTCAGAGGTGGGTTCCCCCAGCAAAAAGCCAAAGATTTAGTTTCATCTGTCCAAACCAAACGCAGATAAAGAAAGAGCAATTCACAGAAGGGCAAATCTGCTGATCAGCACCTGCTAATGGATGTGGCTTGCAAGCAAGAACCTTTTCAGATGGAAGAATGTTCAACATCCAACAGATCCCGGATCAATGGAGATTCTTCATCCAACACAAAACCTGAAGGCAGCCTCACAGTAATAGAAGTAGCAAAGTGCCAGCCTCAAAGCCTAGTCACTGTCCAGATACCTTCTGACATGACTCAGGTGGCAGCTCACGGATGAGGATGGGGATGAGTCGAAGACCACTTTTAATTGTCTGTTAGGGAGTTTTCAGTTCAGGGTCATGCTCTTTGGGTTACAAGGTGCACCAGCTGTAAATGAACATTTGTACAAGGGCATTTTGGTGTACCTGAATGATATACTCATATACACAAAGACCCTAGAAGAACACGTGCAGTTGGTACAGAAAGTGCTCCAGAAATTGTTGGACGCACATTTATATATGAAACTTTCCAAGTGTGAGTTTCATAAAACTCATTTGAACTATCTAGGATTTTGCATCTCACCCACAGGTATAGAAATGGACCCATCAAAGGTGCAAGCAGTACTAGATTGGCAGGCCCCACGGTCTCATAAACAGTTACAAAGCTTCTTGGGGTTTGCTAATTTTTACCGTCAGTTTATTCCATCCTTTGTGCGTGTAGCTTTCCGTTTGACTCAACTATTATGGACCAAACACCTAGTTGGAAAACCACATCCAGGACAACCACTACAATGGACGGTGCCACACCAGCAGGCATTTGAGGATTTGAAAGCGTTGTTTGCTAAGGAACCTGTATTAAAACATCCCAATCCAAACCTCCTGTTCATAGTACAGGTGGATGCCAATGATGTGGGGTTGGAGCGGTGTTGTTGCAACTGAACGAAGCCAGTACCTTACAACCATGTGCCTATACCACCTGAAAGCTGACTGAGACAGAGCGCAAAGAGGCCATTGGGGAGAAGGAGGCCTTTTCAGTCAGGGGTGGGATTCAGTTTTTTTAACAACCAGTTATGTGGGCGTGGCTTAGTTGGTGGGTGTGGCTTGGTGGTCATGTGACTGGGTGGGCGTGGCCAACTCGACATCACTCATGTCAAGGGGCGCTTCTCCTCGCCTGGCCTCTCATGACAGTGGGGATGCTGTAACGGTCATAAGTGTGAAAAATGGTCATAAGTCACTTTTTCAGTGCCATTGTAACTTTGAATGGTCATTAAATGAACTGTTGTAAGTCAAGGATTACCTGTACAAAAATACAAAAAGCTTCTTTCCTTGCATAAAGCTGCCCTAAATACCAATCATTAGGTTAAACATACCTGCAAGGTCGAGTTACAAATCAGGCAGGGTGCCAGAGCACCTTGAGGAATTAAAATAGTTAAAATGCAGTGATAACTATCAAGTAGCCATCTCTTGCTCTTAAAGTAAAACCCTTTAGCAGAGAGGTCACTTAAGCTCTCCAGAAAAAGCACACCCAGGAAAAGCAATCCTTAGATCCATCACAAGGTATCCTAAGGAAATCATCCAGATTGAAGGAAAGGTCACATGCCCCCCCAGAAAGGCAGTAAAAAAAAATCAGTGCCAAGCTTGCATCCTGTCTCATGGAAGTATACCCCAAAAGGACAGTGCCAGATAGTAGTAAAGCAGTGAGGAAGACCCCCTCCCCAGATAGAAAAAGAAACCATGAGGCAAGAAAAAATTCAAACACAATACAAATAATTAAATCATAACAGTAGCTGTTGCTTGTTGAAGCTGAATAGGGAAAATTATCCCATCAATAAACACAGGATTAAACTTCACCAAGCACAGAATTAACCTTCACCAAAAACCAGTTTTAGACCAAAACTCAGAAAGAGTATGTAAACTCACGTTTGAATGTCAATCTTTCTAGCTAGCCAAGAAGGCTTGCTGAATGTCACTCATCTTGGTTCCCTGTCACTAAAAGCTCTGCTTCATTTTCAATTATTTCTTCAAAGTGCTGATTGTCCACGGAAGTATTTCCTCCCAACAGCAGTCTAAAAATCTTAAAACAACCCTTCCCCTTTAAGAAAGCCCCAGAAGCTCTGGAGACAGGAAGCCTAGGTTGTCTGCCAAGAATTTAATAAGGTTGGGAAAAAAACAAAAGGAGATTGCTTCTAACTACCGGTTCTCTGAACTGCTTAGAAAGTTAACAAAGGGTTCCATAGAACTGGATAGAACAGGTAGAATCCCACCCCTGTTTGCAGTCAAATGGGCTCTAACAACATGGAGACACCTTTTAGAAGGTCGACAACTGTGTTTTGAGGTTTGGACCAATCATAAGAACCTGGAAGCCTTACAAACACTACGTAAGCTGTCGCCCAAACAGGTCCGGTGGGTTTTGTATTTCTGCTGGTTGAACTTCACATTGCGGTACATCCTGGCTGGGAAAAACTTCTTAGCTGATGCTTTATTGTGTAAGCCACAATACGCGGGGGCACAGGATGAGGTGGTGCAAGCAATAATCCCCACCATGGAACACGAAGGACAAATTCAGAAAGCACAAAAAATTTCTGGGAAACCCATTTCTATAATCAATATACCACGGACTATTAAAGAAGCACTTGAGACAGATTCTTGGTTCAAAGAGCATAGGCAAATGCTTACCATGAGAGATGGACTCACTTGGAAGGGATTGAAAATATATGTCCCCAGTTCATTACAGCTAGAGGTATTGCATAGATGCCATTATGCGAAAGCTGCCAGACATTTTGGGTTTGTGAAAACTCTTCACCTGACAAATCGGCAGTTCAGTGCTTAGCTACAATCTTTTTAAAGATAAAGTTGGAATGTGCTTCTAAGTTCATTTGTCATATACTTCTCCAGTCCTGTGGTAATATAATCTATTGATCATTTTATCATTTTCTGTAAGGCCTTTGAATAACTAGCAATAAGTCTAGGGATATAGACATTCTTGGTGGGGGTAGGAGTACCTTTGCTCATGAGTGTCTCATCCTGTTTGATTCTGCAAGTTTAGAAGGAACAGGAAAATAGGTAAAAGTTCAAGATACACAGTTGTGCTTTCTCATGGGACTTTCCAAACTTTCCCATGAGACTTTCCATGGCTGTATGATCTCATCCTAGTAAGGTAACATCTGGGACTTTCCAAGATTGTGTGTTCTCATGCTGGTGAAGTAATCTCCTGTTGAGGTCATTGTTTTCTGAATATGCATACTGTATTTTTGCTTGTGTTTTTTCTCAATAAATACTGCTACCTGAGTTCACTCAGGGCTGGCATTTTCTCAGACATTTCCCTGTGTCTCATTTCGAATGTCAGTCCACCATAAGTCCTTCCCCCCACTTTCTTATGCTAACTTGGAAACAAGTATAGGAATGTTTTACAAGTTGACATTCGGCTCCCATCACTTCTTGAAAGCGACCTGTGCAGAGCAAAAACAAGTTGAGTGCAGGTATAGAATTTAGGGTTGCGACACCCCCCCACCAGGCTTGGTTGGATTTTCTGCATGGAATCTTACTATAAGGTGATTGGCCTGGACATTCCTACTCTTTACCCAAGATGCCTCTGATAACCGGTAGCCTTTCCACTTGATTAAGTATTGGAGTTGTCTCCTGTGCTACCTCGAATCAAGGATTTGCTGCACCTCATAATGGGTTTGGCCTCCTATGACCACGGGGTCTCAGGGACGATCCAACCATGGGTTTTAAGAGGCTACTATGGAATATCGGGTGTATCTTCCCTAGCAATCAGGGCAATTTCAATTGCACTGTGACTGGGTTGATAATCTTTACTATGGGAAATGGTCCCATAAACTTTGGCCCCAGCTTCTTGCTAGGGAGTTTTAACCTCAGATATTTGGTGGAGAGGTAAACCTTCTCCCCCAACTGGAATGGTCGTTGTAGTGCTCGGTGTTTATCTGCCTGTTTCTTATAAGTCTGTGCCACTTTAGTCAGTGCTTTTAACATTCTCCCAAGTTGCTTTCAGCATTGACAACCAGTCAGGCAGGCTGACTGATGAGGGGGGATCCCTTGGATACTTAGGCATTGGGACGAAGGCCATACCGCTCACTACTCTGAAGGGGGTTAATCCCGTGCTGCTGTGAACAGCATTATCGTACGCAACCTCCGTGAACAGGAGGAGGTCCACCCAATTGGACTGCTGATAATTCACATAGCACCTCAGATACTGTTCTACCATGGCGTTCAGTCTCTCTGCCCCTCCCATTGGTGCTCGGATGAAAGGCCAAGCTAAGGCCCTGGGATGACCCAATAGACCGCAGAAACTCTCTCCAGAAGTTAGTCGTGAACTGGACCTCTGTCTGAGATAATTCTTCATGGTACTCCATGCAGATGGTAAATGTGCTTCAGGAACAGCTTGGCTAACTGGCGGGTTGAGGGTAGTCCACTGCAAGGTATGAAGTGCGCCTGTTTGGAGAATAAGTCTATTACAGTCCAGATCACCGTGTTCACCCCACTTTTCAGTAACTCCACTATGAAGTCCATTGTGATCTCCTCCCATGGCCCCATTGGCTCTGCTACCGTTTGCAGCAATCCAGGGGGTTTTCCTGGTCACTTTTTCATTGCGGTGCAACTCTTCGCTTAACTGTCCACGTCTTTCTTTATGCTGGGCCACCAAAATTGCCTCCATGCTAAGTGTAAAGTCTTTAAGAACCCAAAGTGGCCTGCCGGTTTGGTGTTGTGGCTCCTCTGGAGGACTAGGGTGTGTAGAGTTTCGTCCCCTTCCACACTAGGTCATCTCTTTTTGTCAAGATATGTTGATTGTCCCAGAACCAGGGGTCTGCTAGCAGTTCACTTTTGAGTTTTGTGGTTAGATCTCTTGTGGGTTGGTCTGGCCAGTCACGGCGTTGTCATCTGGTGGTTACTTGGGCAGCTATTTGGGTAGAGGGGATGATGGCATTCACGACCTCCTCCCATTTGCATTGGGGCATGCGGGAGAGGGCGTCAGCCAGAAAGTTCCTGCCCTGGGATGTGTTTTAGCATGAAGTCAAATCAGTTGAAGTATTGAGCCCAGCGGACTTGTTGGGTGTTAGTTTTACCGGGGTCCTAAGGGCCTCCAGATTTTTATTGTCAGTCCAGACTTTGAACGGTCTCTGTCCCCCTTCCAGCAGGTGATGCCAGGTTTGCAGTGCCTATCTCACCATGAAAGCCTCTTTTTCCCATGCAGCCCATTGCCTCCCTGTGTCCGTGAGCTTATGGGAGGTGTAGGCGCAGGGTTGTAGGCTTCCTTGGTTATTTCTTTGGAGTAACACTGCTCCCACTGCCACGTCGTTGTTTGGGGTCAGGCTGCTTCAGCACTGGTTCTTTTGCAAACAGTTCTTTCAGTGTTTCAAATGCTTTTTGGCAAGTTAGGTCCCACTGTAGGGGTTGTCCTGGGCAGAGTTTTGTTCCTGGGCTCCGTCTTTAGGGGATCCATCATGGGTTTGACAATCCTTCCAAAGGAGGGGATGAATTGCCAGTAAAGGTTTGTGAACCCCAAGAGTGCTTTGTAGCTGTCTGTGGGTGCGAGGGGGCTGCCAGCCTAGGATGGCTTGTACTTTGGCTGGGTCCATCTCTATGCCTTCATTGGAGACTCCTTAACCCAGATAGTCTAACCGTGTGCAGTGAAATTCGCATTTCAACAGTTTGACGTACAGGTTTGCCACTACAAGTTTTTCCAATACCTGGCGGACTAGGGGTATGTGGTCATCTATGGTCTCAGTGTAGATGGGAATATCGCTCAGGTAGACAAGGACCCCCTTATAGAGGTGCTTGTGTAGCACCTCGTTTATTAACTGCATGAACACCGCTGGGGAGCCCTGTAGTCCAGAAGGCATGACTTTGAATTGGAAGCTCCCTAGAGAGGGCAGTTGAACACTGTTTTCCATTCATCTCCCTCCCTGATGCGGACTCAGTAGTATGCTTCTCTGAGGTCTAATTTGGTAAAGACCTTCCTCTTGGCTAGGTGTGATAGCATGGCCTTCATGAGCGGGAGGAGGTATAGGTTGTGTACACACAGACCATTTATAGCTCTAAAGTCCATGCATAATCTCATGGTCCCAACTTTTTTCTCTTTGAACAGGACTGGGGCTGTGACCCGTGGCTTGGCTGCCTCGATGAACCCTCTTGCTAGGTTTTTGTCTATGTATTTGCACACTTCTTGCATTTTTCGGGATGTCATGGCGTAAAGTTCAGGCTTTGGTAGTTTTGCTCCAGGGATGATTTCTATGGCACAGTCTGTCTCATGGTGGGGAGGTAGGATGTTGCACTCAGTCTTACTAAACACCTCCATGAGGTCCTGATATTCCCTCGGGGTCTGTCTGGCTTCTAGGGCTTTGCTGGAGGTGGCTGCTAGTTGTTCAGGTGGGCTCTCTGGGAGGGTTCCCTGCGTGGGTGGTGCTTCTATTTGCTCATAAGGAGGGGGTTGGGGTCCCCTTGCTATCCTCAGTCTGCGGCTGCTCCCCTGCCACCAGATAGTTGGGCCCCACTTGTCTAGCCAGGAGAGTCCCAGTATGACTGCATCTGAAGAATGCCCAGAGAAGGAGAATCTTTTTTCTTATAATCCTCTAGATTTTGAGAGTTTTCAACAATGTATTTTGAACAATGTTGTAACTCATTTCAATGTTATAATAAAGAACTTGTAGTTGTAAATTTTTAAAAAATAAGGAGCCTCTGTGGCATAGTGGTTAGAGTGCAATACTGCAAGCTACTTTTGCTGCAGCCAGCTGCCTACAATTTGGCAGTTCAAATCCCACCAGGCTCAAGGTTGACTCAGCCTTCCATCCTTCTGAGGTGGGTAAAATGAGGACCCAAATTGTTGGGGGCAATATGCTGACTCTGTAAACCGCTTAGAGAAGGCTGTAAAACACTATAAAGTGGTATATAAGTCTAAGTGCGATTGCTATCTGTCATTTTGGGGGCTACTACAAATCAAATTGTTTCCCAGTGATCCCCTAGCTCTAGTCTCACTGATTCAGTTAAGTGAGTGGCATGGGCCCCTCCCAATAGGGACCCATCGACCTGTTCAAACTGGATCAGGTGGGCCAACCATTTTGCTCTAATTCCCAGTTTCAGGACCGTGGTTAGGTTGACCAGACATCTAGTGCAGCCTGAGTCTATTAGGGCTTGGAAAGTCCCCCAAGTCCCTGTTTTTGGGGCTGTGAGTTGTATTGGGAAGATGAAAGGTGAGACCGGTCCACTCACCATTGGGTTCTTTTCGCCCTCGTCCTCACTGTCATAGGAATCCGGCAACTGGTCATCGTTTGTTTGTTTTTTTAAATCTTTTTTTATTTTTACAACAAATACAACAAATAAAAGCATCTTTCAATTTTACAGTGTGTCGGTTGGGTACATATATCCTGTGCGCATGCTAGTATTGTTATGCATTTCTTATTTAATTATATTCACATTTTTTTCTGAACTACATTCTATATCATATTGTTCCATTATTATATTATCATTAAAGTTTTAATTTCAATTCTAGATTATCTTTCAAAAACAAATCTTAATACTTACTAATTTATGTTCATATTATTACTTATTCAGGAATAATCAATTATAGTATATTATTACTATTACAACATATTTCAATTTCTTATTCTTCTATCTAACCATTCATAAAATAAATACCAAATCTTATAATACTCCTTTTCTTCCTGTTCTTTAATTGCCATTGGTTTTTTTTTTATAAAATATTTTTTTATTTTTAGACAAACATACACAAACAAAACATAAAAACATAAAGCCATCTTCCAATTACACTCTAATTGCCATTGTTAATTTACTCATTTCCGCACATTCCATTATTTTCTTAATTGTTTCCTCCTCTGTCAGAATTTTCTCATTTTTCCAATTTTGTGCAAATACAATTCTAGCTGCTGTTAATACATTAATAATCAAATATGTTATCTCTTTATTACAACCTTCAGGCAAAATCCCTAATAAAATATCTCTGGTTTTAAATCTATATGTTGCTTAATCATTTTTCCAACCATGTGTGTATTTTAGTAAAGTATCTTTTAGCTTCTATACATGTCCACCAGATATGGTAATATGATCCAGGTATCTGATGACATTTCCAACATTTCGCCGATTTGTCTTTAAACATTTTTGCTATTCTTGCTGTGGGTAGATGCCACCTGTAAAACATCTTATACAAATTCTCTTTATAAGCCGCTGACATTGTTAGTTTATAGTTTCTACTCCATACTTTCTGCCATTTATCCAAGTCTATCCCATATCCAAAAATTTTCCCCAAGCAATCATTGTTTCTTTAACTTGCTCTTCTTCTAACTTCACTCCTAATAGATAACCAATGCCTGCATTCTCCCCCCCCCCCCCCCCCCCCCCCGTCACCCCTTATCTCGCATGCGCACCATCACTGCCTGCATTCTTCCACCCACCATCGCTTCCTGCAGCCTGCTAGCCTGCTAGCCAGCCAGCCAGCCATCACTGCCTGCCTTCCACTGCCCGCAATCCTGCCTGATCCTATATCTGGGTGAGTGAGGCTCTGCAAGCCCCGGTCGCCACCACCTCCAGCCCTGGTCAAGTGCTGACTTCTGGGCCTCTATGTTGCCCTCGCCGATGCTGCCTGCCTCACCCGGCCACCATCT